CGCGCCAGGAAGGCCAACCAAGCGCGACGCACACGTTCACAGGATGAAGGAAAGCCCAGCGCCCGCCCACCTGATGCCGAAGACGCATCTGACAAAACTAAACATCTTCCACAGAAGCACCCGGCAAGAAAGACCAGAAGGCAACCCTCTTGCGCTGTGACGTGAGGGGAGCCACACGTGAGCAGCCCAGGACACACCTCACGCTCGGAGGTGAGAGCCGGCAGCTTCTAGTCTGAGATCGGGAGCGAGGCGAGGATGCTGCTCCCTCCGCGCCCGGCACCGTGGCGGCTGACCCTCGAACAGCACGAGTTCGAACCGCGTGGGGTCAGCACCCTGAGCCCTGCCCCGTCCAAGGGCGGGCACCCTGGGGGGTCCAGGCAGAGAGTTAGGCAAGAAAAAGAAATCGAAGGGCTCCACTTGGAAAGAAAGCAGCAGAAAGTCGTCTTTCTGCAGATGCTACGATTTCCACGTAAGAACCCCTGAAGAGTCCGCAAAATAACTTAGAGACAGTTCCACTTACAGCAGCGTCCGAAGGAGTACTCGGTACCCAGCTCAGCCGAGGAGGTGGAAGACTTGGACAACGGACACCAGACACAACGCAGCGAGAAGTTACAGACGCAAACAAGCAAACACAAACACACCCCACGTTTGTGGACGGAAAGACCTCTTAGCGTTAAAACGTCAATACTGCCCAAAGTGGTCACAGGCTGGGTGAATCCTCAGCCCCAAAACATTCCTTCACGGAAACAGGAGCCCCCAGACTTCGCCTGCAGTCTCCAGGGACTCACGGAGCCCAAACAATCTTGAAGAGAACAAAGGTGAAGCCTCGCAACTTCGGGTGTCGAAACCTCCTACAAAGCCACCGTCGTGCGGGCCCGGCGCAGCGGCAGACAAGGACGGGGAGCAGCCAGCCCCGAGGCAAGACGGTCAAACATCTCTGACCGGGGCCCCCGCCCACTCAGCAATGGTGCTGGGACGACTGGACGCCACACGCCCGAGAACGCCGCCGGACCCTACACAGGTAACACACCAAGCAGGTCGTCGAGGACCTAAACGGAGGGCCTAGAGCACGAAAATCCCTAGAGGAAGACACCGGGCAAGAGCGTCGTGGTTTCTGGGAAAGGACACCACAGCGCAGCTCGGACTCAGTGACGCTTCAAGGTCTTGTGCATCAAAAGACCCTCAGGAAGTAGAAGGGCCTCGAGGGAGGGGAGGGAGGAGCCCGCTAAGGATCCCACAGCCCTGAGACGGCGGGGGCTCCGCTCAGTCTCACAGGACCGACACCAAGACTGAGCCCAGGCCACTGACTCCAGGGGATAAGGACGTGTCCCCGTGGTGGGCCCACAATAAACGCACCACCTGGTGGGGACGCGACAACGGGGAGCCTCCGCCCCGGGGCAGGGGGCGTTCACGCGCAAGGTCTGTACCTTCCTCTTAATGTTGCTGTGAACCTAACACTGCTTAAAAACAAAAATCAAGTCTTAAAAAAAAATAAAGGCAACCCACAGAGCAGGAGAAGACGTTTGCAAACCATGTATCTGATCAGGGATTAATATCCAGTACAGAGAACCTGTAATACCACCAACCTGATTCAAAGTCAGGCAGGCGACTGGGACAGACACACGCACACATGGCCATGAGCCCACGGGAAGATGCCCCATGTGACTGGTCACCGGGGAGATCATCAAGTCAGGACCGGCAGAGCGGGGACAGCGCCTCACACCGGGTCAGAAACAGCCAACAGCCAGTGCTGGCAAGGCTGCGGAGGAACCGCAGCCCTCAGGCCCCGCGGGCAAAGCGTGGACTGCAGCAGCCACTACGGGAAGATGGTGCGGTGGCTCCTCAGAAAACTAAACAGAACTACAGTGGCTCCAACAGTTCTGCCTCGGTGTGTCCCCTGAAGACAGAAAGCAAGGCCTTGAAGAGGTGACGTGTATACACCCACATCCACAGCTGCCAGAGCGCAGGCGGCCCAGTGCCTTCTACGGGGGGTGGACGACACAGTGTGGTCCACCCACGCACTGGAGTGGGATTCAGCCTGAGAAAGAAGGAATCTGACGCCTGCTACTGCGTGGCTGAACCCTGGTGTGAAACAAGCCAGACCCAAAAAGACAGAAACTGTGACTTCACTTATGTGAGGTCCCTGGAGGAGTCAGAGTCACAGACAGAAAGCAGACAGGGGTGTGGCAGGGGTCAGGGGACTCAGAGTCAGTTTAGTGGGGACAGACCCTCACTTTGGGAAGACGAGAAAGTGCTAGAGATCTTTTGCACAACAGCATGCAGTTAACACAACTGTGCTGTGCGCTGAAAAATGGTTACAATGGTAAACTGTATGTCAGGTGAATTTCAGCACAATTATAAAAATACCTGGTTTTGATCCTGTGGCCAATGGAGAGGGACCTCGGGGACAGATATTCATCCAGGAGTAGCAGGGCCCTCTGGCTCTGCTTGGGGGACCCGTGGGGGAAGGGGCTGGAGCTGCAACCCGCCTGCTGGGCCCCGACCCGCTCCCAGCCGCCCCGCTGCCCTGGCCCCTTACCCAGCAAGCCTCCGTAGGAAGATGTCTGCTTGGGGGGCACGCCGAAGAAGAGCTGTCCTATCCTGTCGAGGTACTGCGGGCAGAGCGGGCACGGGACACTGAGCCGGCCACCTGCCTGCAAGGCCACCCCACCGCCCCTCCAGGGCGGCCTGGGGTCCCAGCGCCCAGCCCGCCAGCCCCTCACCTCGTTGTACATGGGGTCCCGCCGGAGAGACGGCTGGTACTGCTCGCACAGCACCGTGAAGACTGTCAGCTTCCCCCTGAAACAGGATGGCCGGGCGGCTGGTCCCTCTCCAGACCAAGGAGAGCAAGTGGGACAGGAAACCATGCCCCCGGACCCGCCCCCCGCCCCCTGCGCCCACACACTCACCCATCTACGGCCAGCAGCAGGAACCAGATGAAGTTGAGCAGCGGCTGCACGAACGGAGGGCCGCTCTCGATGGACGGGTGTTTCTGTGTGTACGTCGTGAACACCACAGACGCGCTGCTTTTGTTTTTCAAGCACAGAAACCTATAAATGAGAGCAGGGCTGTGAGTGGGAAGAAAGGGTCTCCACACACATCACCGCCCCACCAGCAGCCTGACGCCCTCTCCTAGGCCACTGCCCATGTAGCCTTGCTCACCGAGGCCTCCCGCCAGGCCCTGTACATGGACCCACGGCCCAGAGAGTGGGCACCTCGGGGTGTCCATGGTTTTCAGGTGGGGAGAACCATGCTCAGGAAGGTGACGTGTACACTGCCAGCAGAGCCGTGATGCAGCGGGGTTCCCTGAAACCACACACCTGTCTGCACCTGCCCACGTGAGCACAGCAGGCCCGGGGCCAGGGCCACGAGGCCCGCCGGAGGACGTCCTCTCAGCCGGGCCTCACTGCGGGGCTGGGCCCATGGGGAAGAGGGACGTACAGGAAAGGGCTGGGTGATCCCGCAGGCAGGGCCAAGTCCAGCCCCAAGGAAACACTGGGCCCAGAGACCAAAGGCAGGCTCAGTGAGTCCTGGGTTTTAGAATGTTTCGTTTCCAAAGTCACAGATGTCAGCAACTAGTGACAGAGTTCAGAAGCCCTGACCTGCTGTGAACTCACAGCACACACACCGCTCCTGGCCCAGCACCTCGCCAGCAGATCAAGGGATTCTCTGAGAGGAAATAAACACACTGATAAACACGCGGTGACTGTCTGCTGGGAGTCAGGCCCAAGGTCGCCTGAGTGGGCGCCCGGCCATGGGAGCCCAACAGGGACCCTCACTTGCTGCCTCTTCCAAAAAGATGAACTGGAAAGAAAACGGGGGTGGCAGCCTACCTAGAACTGGGGGGCGGGGAGCGGGCGGGGCCACCCCCGCATCGCCCTGCGGGTGCCTGGAACACCTGGAAGACCAACAGCCTTGGAATAAAAGCCCGCGGCACTTGCACCTCCACCCCCGGTACTGCAGGAAGCTGACTACTGAGTCCTGACACTCAGACCCCTAAACAGGAGAGACCCTGGGGGAGACGGAAAACCCACGGCAACAGAACGCTGATCTGTAACATAGAAAGTGCCTCCACTGCTCTGTGGGGATCTCACAGGTCAGCCCAAGAGGTGAGGGGACCGTCTGCTGTGCCCAGAGACTGGCAGTGGGTTGGGCTCGGTGGCGTGGGTGGGACCCCGGGTGACTTCGGAGTCTTCCTCACGTGCGGCTCAGCCCGGAGAGCGCCCGGCTCAGAGGCCATCCCCGGGCCCCAGGTGGCCACGCGAGCCAGGGTGGGACAGCAAAGGGCACGTACTGCAGGACGGCCTGGGCCACGAACATGTCCACCTCGCTGCGGAAGCCCCTGGAGGTGGCGTACTCCACCAGCATGTTGGCGCAGCCTTCTCCGTCGCTGGAGTGCAGGAAGTGGTACCGGGACTCACAGTAGTTCTGCTCTGCAGAGGGAAAGGGGACCCGTGAGCGCCCACCCCTACCCCGCTGCTCCCAACCCTCCTCCTAGACACCCAGTGGGGGGGGCAGGTCCCCGGGTGCAGCTGAGCCCCTGCCAACGTTCACACGAGCTGAACCCTAAGAAACAGCCCCGAACAGGCCCTGTGACCCACACAAACAGTGCTGTCGGCTGGATTTGGAAGGTGCCTCCCAGCTCAGAGCAGCAGCTGGGACCAGCCCAAGACCCCGCTGCCCACTGATGCACCCCAGCCTGCTCCCCTTCTCCACTCTGACGGGCCCTACACTTCATCCAGCGCTGTGCCAATTGCCTGCTCCTCCAGAGAGAGAGGTGCCCCTGGGCTGGGTCTGGTGATGCCGGCGCAGAGAAGGCTCCTGGTCTGAATGAAGGACTGCACGTCCCCTTGGGACCAGGACCAAAGTCCCCCGAGGCCTGAGAGCCCTGCCTTCGGTGGGCACATGGCTCTTCGACATCGCCACACTGGACCTCTGCCTCCACTGAGCCCCCGGCAGACGCTACACTGTCCCCAGTCCAAGTGGGGTCACCCAGCAGCTGATCAAGAAGGTGGCATGAGGCCCTGAGGCAGAACCTGCCTCCTGAGAGTGGGGCGTGTGAGGGGAGGAGGCCGCAGGACCGTGGGCAGCCAGGGAACCCGCCTCCGCTGATGTTCTTCTGTCCCAGGGTTTTCACTCTACGCCGGCTCCTGAACTACAAGTGGGTTCTAAATGCCTGTGTTTCACGAGGTGACCAAAGCTCCAACCTCCCTGTTTCCAGTAAACAACCTGGGCTGTGAACCTGGGCCCTGCCCAACACGCCAGCCCTCCTCGCCAGCCAGCTCTCACCCAGCATGACCCGACCCTCACTCCGGACACGCCCGGTGCCTACAGACGAGTCAGCCACCTCAGCTGGGGGTGCTGCTGGCCTCCAGCTGTGGGGCCCGGAGACGCTGTTGGCTCCCCACTCTAGGGCAGGCCACCCCCAGGTCCTCAGATGTGCCAGCTCCTTCCAGGCCACCTCCTCACAGCGGCACACAAGCCTTGCTGGCTGCACCACTCGCTCCTGGGCCGAGGCACCACCGTCCTGACCCCTGGTCCCACCTCTGCACGGACACTCCTGCCAGCTGGGCAAGGCGGCCCTTCTTGCCCCTAGATCACGGCACCAGCCCGGCCCCACCCTAGGCCAGACCCTCAAACGCACCCTCACTGGGCGTCAGCTCCCAGCCCCGTGCGCTGCCTTCAGGAAACGTGTCCTCTGCTTGGTTGGTTTGTTCCTTTCTCCCCCCTCCCTCCCTCCAACCCCCAAGAACAACCCTTTGGTTTCCAAGCATCCACATGACAGAGAAAGTCAGACAAGCAAGCAGGTACCTTCGGCCCTGGAGGCTCTTGCACGAGACCCCGTGAGCAGCGGGGCCCTGAGCCGCTGGGGCAGTTCTCCCATGGGGGCGCCCAGCCAGGCCATTTCTGGCCCAGGACCCAGGGCCCCTGCACTCACATGGGCCCGCGGGCCCACCCTGTCACAGGGACAGGAGGGGAACGGCACCTGGCGGACGGCCCTCAGCACAGCCTTCCACATGCTCTGTGGGCCTCAAGCACGTTAACACGCCTGTACCTTGAACTTCAAATGCTTCACGTTACACGTGCGGGACCTTAACGTCCCCAGCCCCGCGCGGCCTCTGGGCAGCTCTGCCGCGCACTCTACTTCACAGCACTGGGCACCAGTCCCGCCAACTCCGGTCCCCAGACAGTCCCACGCAGCACCCCTCACAGGCCAGGCCAGAGTAACACCAGCGCGCTGGCCCCGCTGGCCGCCCTCCCCTGGACACGGCTGTTGGCTAACAGACCTCATTTACAAAGCCCGCCCACACTAGTGTCCAGAACGACAGACCTGCCAAAGTCCCACAGTGTCACTTGCCAGGCTGTGCCCACGGTCACCTTCCCTACACCTGACCCCACCCCAGTGACGCCCAGCGAGGACAGAGCGCGGTGTCCACCTGTACAATGGGCCCAGGCTCATAGGCCAACGGCGTAGATGAGCCCCCGGGAGTGCAGAACTGCCAACGGCCGTGTTCTGGCCGCTCCCCACTGCCCCATGCCGCGGGCAGGACCCCACACCGCACGGATGGAGCAGGCCCCGCACGAGCTCACTTGCAAGACAAGTGCTAGGAGAAAGAGAACCCCAGCCCTCCGGCACAGGCCTACCTTTCCACAGGGTGAGGGCCAGCAGCTGGTGCAGCCGGGGGTGGCCCAGCTTCCCGGACCCCCCGCTGGACCACTTCAGGGCTCGCGACACGAACGCCACTCGCTCCGGGGAGTTGGGATCCATCAAACTAAACAGCTTCGCCAGACTTTCTGAAACCCACACAGAGACCTTACCCGAGGAAACCCATGACTACCTCAGTTTCCCACCGCACATGTTACGCAAATTAACTGTTTCACTTTGAAAGGAAGCTAAGAAACAGCTGGCATGGTGGTGGCATCCCAGGGCCACCCCCAACTGACCTCACTGTAGCACCAGCCTCGAGGCTGAGCCCCTGTGGGGCGGCAGGCAAGGGGGTGGGCTGTGCTGGGAGCTGGCCCCAGCGGGCAGAGCCCTGGAGGGGGGACCCTCCTCTGCCTCTCCAGCCGGCAGCTCACAGGAAGGGCTCACCACTCGGGGCAGGCCGGGTCTCTGAGACCACGTGGCGGCCACCTTGCCTTGGTGGAGTGGACAGCACGGTGGCTCCTCTGTGTGTGGGGTGGGGGGCGGAGGGGAAGGGGGTCTCCATGTGGGAGCAGCTGCAAAACCGCCTTGGGCACCGGGCGGAGGGCTCACCCAGCAGCTCGTCAGCCACCTCGACTTCTGCCTTCTCCAGCGACTCTAAGACCAGCATGGACAAATCCGAGGCACTGTTTTGCTGTAAATGTAGAAGAGCACAGAGTCAGAAACAAGGCTTTGGCCCGTTTTTGGAAAACATGGTGAAGCTGGGCAACTGCTCTAGTTCCGGGCAGAAACTGGGGACCAGCTGAAGCTAAGAAACCACCCTAAGTACCGAGGCCTTGTAGCCTTAAGACCTCGGCCTGGGCCCACGCCCACCCGGCCCCGGCCCCAGGCCGGGAAGACCCACCTGGCCGTGGCTGAAGAACAGCAGGGCTCCCGAGCACATGAGTTCTCGGGCCTCGGCGTGCTTGCTCTGCGACATGTACCTGCGACAGGGGAGGAGCAGTGCCGGTCAGGCCACACAGACGTCCTCCAGGACCAGGACGGCCTGCTAAGCACACCCACCAGTTGTGCCAGTCAGACACCACAGGCCGAGCGTGTGAGCAGACAGGGACGTGCACGACGCCAACCCCTGTGCACGCACACCTCCGGGTTTGGTTCTGAGGGCCGCCTCGCCCCTAGGGGTCTGTGCGGGCTCCGCACGGGGGTGCCCGTGGCCCGGCTCTCCCTACCTGGCCCCACTGCAGCACTGAGTCCCGTGACGGGGCTTGGGGGGCCCTGTCTCTGCCCAAATGGTCCAGGTAGCACCTCCCTGGAGCAGGTCAGGGGTTTTCAGCAGAAAGGCCAGCCAGGAGCTGGGTGACAGACTGGGCCCCCAGGGCAGCGCTGGTGTCCTGCCATGCCCCGGGCAGCCCTCTTACCTCCACCCTGCACCACTTCCCACCTTGAGCACGTTTCTCAGCGAGCACAGAGCAGCCAGAGGCCGGCCTGGTACCACACACACGACAGGACAGAAGGGATGGCCCGCCCACCACAAACCAGACGCTGAGGGAAGCAGTGCAAGGCGGGTGCGGCAGAGCCTTGGCATGGGCGGTGCTGGGACGCTGACCTCACTGGCTACACTTGTCTCTTGACGAGCAGGCAGGAAACAGAACCGGCCAGTCAGACCTGCACATCCCGGGCCTGACAAGTCAAGACATACACTTTGGAAAGCAGCGCCGTAGCCCCTCTGAGACACAAGGAACCCGGAGGTGGCCAGAAGGCAGGGTCTGGGTCATCCGTCCAGCGGGCCTGAAGGTCAGGCGGGAATAACCACAGAAAGGTCTTCTCTTCAAAAGACTTAGGGACCAGAGCCCGCAGGAGAACACAGCCCCCTTCCAGGCAGCACCCAGTGGAGTCCAGCTGCTGACACGGGCGTGGGAGCAGAAGAAACCTGTACCCCAGAAAGAAGCCCGCGGCGACCCAGGGAGCAGCAGCCCCGCGCACGGCCACCCGCAGCCCACGTCTCAGCCGGGTCCGGTCCTGCCCGGAGCTGCCCTGCAAAAACTAGTCCTCCCGCTGCCACCCGCCCAGACACAGGACCCAAGTGACAGTCACTCCAGCAGGTCTCTGCTTATGATGGGACGGGGCCCTCCCTGGGCTCCTCTGTCTGAGGTCCAGCAAGAGGGAGCGGCTGACAAGTCAGAGGAGGATAAGGGAATCCCCAGAAGGCAGACAGACCTAGTTCGTGGGGGCAACATCTGCAGCACACGCCCCCGCAGCTCCTGCCTCAATGGACACGGGCGCCTGCGTTGGCGGCAGGGGGATGGCCCACAGTCCCCTAAGCTGAAACTGCCGGCCACGGATCAAGGGTGCTGAAAACCACAAGACGGCGGAGAGCAGCACCAGAGACCTTCACTGCACCGCACGGCGCTGGGAGCGGGAAGGGGCTTGGTTTCTCAGAGCCCAAACAGGCAAGAGGTGCCCGCCAAGACCTCGGTGGCGCCCAAAGCAGCCAGCACGCCCGCAGCCCTGGCCTCTGCTCGCTCAGGTGGGAGACCCCAGCCCACAGCAGGCCCCCGGCGGTTCCACAGCTTTCCCACACAGCATTCATTGCATCTGCGCAATCATTCATTTTGCTCTTAAAAAAAAACCAGAACACAGAAACGAAAGCATTAACACTAATGATGAAAACGTGGGTGTCCAATGGAGCGACAGGCATGCGTCTCCCTAAGCCCTGCCCCACCCCAGCCCTCCACCACGTGTGAGAACACGTGTCTTAAGTTTCCCTCTTAAGAAAGCCTTCAATTTAAGAGGCAAAACGTCAGTAACCAACGTGAGGCTCAGGAAGGCCCCTCTCCGTCAAATGGGTGGGGCAGAGGCCCCTGAGGGAAGGCAAACGAGGGAAAGCAAAACAGCCATGGGCCACTGCACGCAGGGCAGTCGCAGCAGCCTGGGAAGCCTCTGGGCCTGGAGCCCGGCCCCCTCGTCCTGGCTGAAGCTCTGAGCAGACACGCCAGCGCCCACTGCCACCCCGCCTTCCAGGAGACACAGCCCAGCCTCCAGCTGACCCGCCAGACCAGCTGTGCGCCCCTCCTGTGCACACACCCCTGAAAGTCCAGTCTCCTGGGCGGCCCGATCCTTCCCCCTCCTCCTCAGACTGCTGTGGGGAATAGCGAAAGGGGATTAAAACAGCACAAATCGGTGGATTTGTCCAACAGGTGAATCCAATAGGTGAAAAAACTGTGGTCCGCCCACACAACGGAACACCACTCAGCAATAAAAATGATACACACATGGGTGAATTTCCAAATACTCACGCTGAGGGAATTCCAACGGTCAGGTAAAAAGAGCCTACGCTACGCCTCACCACACACAAAATCCCACCTACTGTGACAGGTCAGTGTGTGCTTGGGGGTTAAGGGGGAAAGACTCACCCTCGAAGGCAGACGAGAGCCTTAGGGCAGTGGATACTTTCAGTACCCTGACTGGTGATGATTTCTCCAGTGGATACACATGTCAAAACTCATCGAATTGTACATTTTATGTAAACACTTAAAAACACACCTTCATCTACAAAAAGGTGTAACGAAGTACCACGCTGGAGGTGCTGACTTCTCAGGGAGCTGCGACCTGTGCAGGGCTCTGGACAGGGCTGCACTTGCAGTCTAAACGTGACCAGGACCCTGGAGGGACAGCGACAACTCCAGGCCGTTTCAGGGAGGCCCCCGGAAGGCCACAACTGCTGGCATGACAGTCCACCGTGATCCCCAAAGAGGCCTGCGGCAGGCCACTTGCTTCTCAGAGTCCTGAAGGGGTGTGGGTGCACCCCAAATGACCCAGGAGGAAGCCAAGGCTCAGAGAGGTTCAACCAGGTGCCCTGGGCCATGGAGCAGAGGACGAATGCAAACCAAGGTCCGGGCCAGGCGGGTGGAGAGCCAGGGGTTCACCACTGCCCACATCACCACAAGTGCACCTGGGCGCAGGCACTCACCTCTTTAAAGCTGATCCAGGATCGCGTTCGTGGTCCAGCATGACTACAGAGCTGGCTCAGAGCAACCGAGGCCGTGTTTATTTTGGGAAGCTCCAATCTTGCTGATTAATCACTGGGGCAAATATTTATAAACAAATCCCCAAGACCAGCAAGTGCCAGGGCAAATCTCGAGCTCTGCAAAGCTCGGCATCGCACAGCTGACTGGCTGAGCTGCCGGGTGGAGGCTGCACGTTAGACTTTAGAAGCCCCCTACGTCTTTGGCTTGTCGCTTGAAGAAGAGTCAACCCACCGTACAGGGCCACGGAGTCCCAACACAGTATGGGGCACAAGGCTGTGTCTAAACCAGACTGTGACCAAAGCAGAAAGTGCTGCCAGAGATCCCAGCTTGACTCAACTTGCTATTTAAAGAAAAATTTCAGATCTAGGCCTACATTGTGTAAGGCAGGCCTGACTGCTCTTAAATATCATAGCGAAGCATTTACTGTTTCGCAGCAGTTTAGAAAGAAAAAGCACTCCACAGAACAGATTAAATCCTCTAAAGTCATCTTTAAATCCTAACAAACGGCCCAACTGTTTTCTGGCAGGAAACGTGAAGGTCGAAGGCATGTACCTAACCCACAGGAGCGCCCCGCACACGCAAAAAACGCTTGCAGTTACAGCAGAATCTGCGTGGTGATACCCTGCAGCCCAAAAGAAAACTAACAGGCCAGGCGCTCTGAAAACCCCAGAACCACGATAAAACACGGCTTCTTTAGCCCAGTGCATCAAGCGTCACTACAAACCCGGCGGATCCCCGAGGGCCGCGCCGCACCCGGCCACCCTGCGGGGCCGTCGCCGCACTTTCGAGGCT